TTAACAGAGTAAATTAATAATGCAAAAGACTTACGGTTTTTGGATTTCCCTATTTTACATGTATAACTTGTTATGGGTATACGTATAGGTACATTTTTAGTTTAAGAATGTCTTGGAGTTGAAATTGATACTGTCATGTTTTTAAAGAGAAATTAGACACGGCTATCGACAGTGAAGTTATAATGCATTGAGCCTTCAAAATTCTGGGCTGTAGCCCATTTAGTGAAACTGTTTTTACGTATAAATAAATAAAATATAAAATATTTTTAATAACACTCAAATCCAAAATTTATTATTAATAATTTTAAAATAAAAAGTTAAAATATGTAGGTTTTAAAAGAGTTATAATTTTTACTGAAAATTTATATTTAAAATTTTAAAATTAAATCATTAAGATTTATAATAATTACATACATTCCCCATTTATAATTACAAATTTAAATTTTAAAATTGTAACGTGTGTACATACATATTAATTTATTTATAAATATAAAACCTATAATTACTAATAGGTTTACATCATCAAGAATTATTGGAAAAGAATTTTGATTTTCATCTTAATATTACCTAAAAACAAATTAATTCTTTAATTAAACAAAATCTAAAACATAATAAACTATTGCAGATTTACCTTCCCTTTTAATCTCAGTCCACATCCAACTTTGAGAACCTGCAATGGCTTCTACAGTCTCATGAAGGCTACTAATCAGCTTCACACCCTTGCTAAAACTAGACACTGAAGAAATTATAAAAGCTCTCCTACAATGAGTTACAAATTTGAGTATTTATGACTATTTAGTTTCCACTAACTCAAGATGTCAGAATTTACCATTATTAAAAGGCACCGATCTTTTTTCTATATAATAATTATGACTTCGGATTCAAATATTTTCTTTTATTCGATACGTACGTTTACTATTGACCAACAATATATAACTACTGTCTGAATGAGTCGGACAAGAACAACATTTTCCTTCTTGCAAAGGTGAATTTTTAAGGTGGTGCTTACCATCCAAATCTCTTAAATCTTTAACAACTTTATAGATCTATTTTGTCTTATCACTTTCATATCCACACAAATCTCTTAAATGAATTCATCAATATCCATCTTGTATCTAGGATCCAAAATATTTATAACCCCCCTCAAATAATGAATCACTTCTACTTATCACACTTCGCAATTTTAATTGCCATGCATGAAATGGTAACAGTAGGTTACCTCAAATATGAAATGGTAAGAGTTGGAGAAAATATCATCCAATGCCTTTGTATATCTACCATCTTCAGAAAAGAACTATTTGCAGCAATGTAAGAAATTTTTTTTTTTAAAAAAGAAATTCAGTAGTATCATTAAAGATTTTTAACTTCTTATAAATCTCTTTGCCATCTCCCTGTCATAATCGCTAGGCAAACTATTGTACTTTGACTCGTGTTGCTTTAAACGAACAAAGACATCTTTGCATGTCAAAGTAGTGACTAGCATCAAACGGGTAGAATTCTATTTGATCTTAACATCTTGACACAACTTTTTGGAAATTGGAACATGCAACTGGCTGGCTGTGTTCTCCAACTTTTCTATCCTTTTTGGTTTAGACAATCCATATATGACACCATTTGGAACCTTCTTTTACAATTAAATTTAAAATGTGTACAAAACAACATATTTGGAAAAAAGATCCATTCGGTATTAATGAACTTAAATTAAGTTTCTCAGCTAAACCCTCAACTACTAAACAGTTGTCAAGTGTAACGCTTGATAACTTTCAATCAATATTCTAATCATAAAAACACTTCACTAGAAATTTAGTGATTATTTCTACAGTATGCGGAGCTGATATATAACAAAACCTAAAAAAAATGTAAATAGAATCTAAATTTAAACTTTGAACTTATTACCACAAATGTGTAAATAAGTTATTTATTTAAAATCATTTAAATAACTCAATGTAAACATGTATAAGTTGTAAATTAAATTATGAGGAAATAATTCAATCCCCGAGAATCATTAATGTAGTGTCTT